GTATATGTAGCCGAAATAATGCCATGTCAGCTGGGGTGATGTAAAAGTAGCAAGAACCGGTCCAATTCGCGAAGAAACAAGGCCTAGCAGTCTGGCTATTGCTGGCTTGCACGTCTGAACTTGGATCCAGGACCAGTCACGGGACGAGAATCACCGGGTCAACAGGTTGAAGAATGGTCTTCCAAAAGGGGTTGTTTGTTATCAGTGGGAATTTTCAGGGATTGCCATCAACTTTTACCCCATCAGGTATTGGGTATCCGCCCTCCCCTAGTCCCTTATCCCTGACTGACGGGAAGTAAAGGTAATTGGGCTTAAAAGTGGGAAGGTAGACGACTGCTAGAAGAGAGAAGCGAGAGTGAAAAAATGCTCGCCACCGTGCTTGACCCTGGGCGTGTCGTCGGTCAGATATTTGCGCACGTGCTCCGCACATGTTACTCATGTGAACAAAAGCTCTCGGTGACAAGTTCCGATCGCACGATACGAGTGGCCTGTTTGGTTTGCAGATACCTTGAATTCTGTCGAAGCAGCAATTGCAACTGATTAGTCAGCAGGGCTAATAATCGCAGAGTGGTGCACCTTCAGCGATACGAAAACCTGGAAGAACGGAAAAGCCAAAGGATTCTCCCTCCGATATTTGATGACTAAACACATGGGTTGAACGGCAACCATATGGCTGCCAGTCGAAAGTGATATGGTTAAAGATAGTTGGCCGTCAGAAACAGGGCGGGGGAGTTCGCCAGGAGGAGTTCAGGTGAACTTGCTGGACACTGTGATCAAAATCACGGGCTGTTTTGAAGAGAAGCGGGCCAACGCACTTCATGACAGATACGAGGACTATATATGAGCAAGTTTATGGCAGTTATGCTATTAGTAACAAAATATTAGAAACACATAATAAGTAAATAATAGTAACAAAGTAAAGTTTAGTAATCTTAATAATTTTAAAATAAGTAAATAACTAGTAGCAAAACAGTTCATGACCGAATCTCCATTAATCTCAGCAGTTATAATGATATTTAGCTTTGTTGTTTCAGCCGCCGAGATTAGTACAGGATTTATTGGCTAATGTGTCGGAACAACCGCCTTCTTCGGAGCCTGTAAAGAAACCCTAATAATATGTGACACATTCACCGAAAACCTTTCAAATTACAAGAACAAAGCTCCAAAAGCTAAAACAACGAAGTTTATTATCACTAGTAGTAACAGCCTAGAAACTGAGGCTTCAACTGCAAGCGGAACTGTGTACTGGCAGAAACACTGCTTTTCTACTCCGATCATTCATCAATTGAGTTTTACACTAACTAAAAGGGTTGAGCGAACATGGAGGTCAGGAGTGCGCCCCGCGACCTCTGTGATTTTCCAAATTACAATAGTAAGCAGTGTTACGAGTCTTTATATGTAGATATAGAATTGAGAGGCAAAAATTAAAAGTTAGGTGAGAAAAATACAGATGTAGAAACAAGGAAAAAGGGAGATGCCGAATTCTTAACTGCTTGAATAGCCTGGTCTGGATACGACCAGAAAGTGGCACCCAAGGAAACAAAATGGTGTCTCAAAGTGCAGAGCCGTACAAGGCACGAAAGAGTCCTAATGGTCTATTAAAGGGCATTCGCAGTTCATAACTAAATTCCTCGATAACAGAACATGTGTAATGAGGCTACAGTAAAACAGTAAGCTCTTACGGAGATCAAAGATGAAAAAATGGAAAAGTGGAACGAATTGATTATGGTGCTCGGTCTATAATATAGCAGTTATGAAGCATTACGATTCTATGCCAAAGAGTTTGCCTGTCCATATGGCGACGAAGGTTATGCACACAATTCGGAGCCGAGAGCGGAGAGCTTGACAGCATTTGGGGTCACACTCTTAAGTGAGTTGTGCTGCCGTGATGACGGACTCTAGCACTACATTCTTTTGATGGCTTGGTACTATTCACAAGGTTATCTTGGAATATGTCTTCCAGTTAAGATGACGATAATTTGGTTGTTGAAGAAGAGTGAATCTGCCTATTGTAAAGGGAGGCTAGAGACCGAACATGGCGCTTTTGCTTCAAAGGGTGGTCAGTGGTGCCCAACCTAGGTCTTTCCCGTGGTGACCGATTTCAGGGGGCGCTCAGCGAAAATGAATATCAGTTTTGGAGACCTGCATGCAAAAACCGTTTTGAAAAAGTCACACTCTAAAAGACCTCCCTTGTCGGTGTACGCATTCCGTGATACTGAGGTCAGCGCAAAATCGCTGAGAATGTTACTGCGAGGAAATTTACAATTTGGTTCGTG